TAATTTGTGATATATTTAATAAATTTCTAAATATACTGAAGTGTATTCTTCTTACCCACATATTAATAATTTCAAATTGTTATTAAAAATATTATATACTTATGTCAATATTATGTATTCATTTTGTAGTTAATATAATATCCCGGAATAAGGTATACATTAAGATAAGGAATCCAGATTTTTATATTTGAATATTACAATCGACGTACGTCTCAAGACGAATTTTTTTAAGTGCCACGAGCTTCCCAGTTAACTTATCTTTGGCTTTGTAAACCACCCCATAGGTCCCTTCCCCTATTTTTTCAATCTTGACGAAGTTGTCCATAACCTCAACGTCACGTTCGACGTTGTCACTCTTATTTTGACACTCCGTCGTAGTTGCCAACTTTTTACCACCGTTTCGAAATTTTTTGAAATTTTATATCAATAATACGTCGACAGACAATGCCGACGATTAATAAACAACTTTCTAGCAGCCGTTTTATCAAAATTCTTTGTTTATCAACACCGAACGAACACCTGACATGCCTGTTTCATAGTAGCCATATTTGTTAGAAAGGTTTAGAACAATCGATTCGAGACATCGATGAAACTAAACGATTGATCGCTTTATTCAATAACGTAACAGGTGAATGAACTTGATAAAAACCTTCGGTTCAGCGTTCGTACAGTATATTATTACGTAACTTATCAACTATTAATAACAATCATAAATTTTGATGCTTAATATAACTATTAAATGAGCTAGAGTTTAACGTGACATCAAAGATACTGTATTAATGTAAATACTTCTATTATTTGTTTATCAGTAAGATAGAAACAATAATTGTTAATCTGTCTGAATGTAAATTTAAATACGCTTTAATGCATTAACACAAACTAGGTATAAAATAGATTTATTATTCAATGGATATTTGTCTCGCATAATTTTGGAACACGTGAGTTCCATTATCCTTTTCGTGTCGTTTCTAGTATTACCACAGACGAAGTCCCCGTCTATAATTCTAAGTTATTGAAACTTCATAATTTTTATTATTTTTTTAATTTCTATTTTTATTTCAATGTGCAGTAGGGAATTTGAGTAATGTAGAATTTTTTGGTTGATTTGTGTAATTAATTTTTGTATAATTCTTATTGGAAAGTGATGATGTACTATCAGCAGTCGCCTTTACCACAAAAAATAACTCGTCGAGGTATTAAGCAATACAGAAATGAGTTAGACAAGGAAAACAATAGAGATAGACAAAGACAGAAAAATGACGGGCGCGACTAGCGCCATCTCGCGTTTGGTGATGCGAACTACGATTTTCTAATAGGAATACAGAATATAAACAGAGGTATTAGACAAGGAAAGCACTAGGGTGCGACAAGGATAGAGAGAAAACGTTTCCTATTGGTTGGCGAGCCGCCTTATTCCGCTTTCCAGGCCCAAGTCACGTCAGTCGGTGAAAAATCGTTAATAACTCATTATTTACGATGAATTTGTGAACTTTTAGTATTGAAGAATGTAGTGTGGACCTTTAGCAACTTTCTCATATAATTTTTAATGCACTAGACCCCTTCAATAATTAGTTATTAACAATTATTTTGCGGAGTGTGGGCAGCGATACCGCACATTTTTCTGGTTTTTCATTAATTTCGTTGCTTTATACATATAATTTATGCACTTTTATACATGTGTTAGAAAGGCTATTCCTTTGGCTAGTTTCCCGTATAAATTTTATTACCATTGCGACAGTAGTTTACGAGTTATTAGACATTATATGGGAGAATCCTCCGCCTTCCAAGTGTTAAATCATGTCGGCCGGTGAAAAATCGTTAATAACTCATTATTTACGATGATTTTGTGAACTTTTAGAATTGAAGAATGTAGTACGAACCCCTAGCAACTTTCACATATCATTTTCAGTGCTCTAAACCCTTTCCATAATTAGTTATTAGCGATTTTAATACGGGAAGTCGGGAACGATACCGCATACCGTCAGATACCTTTACGATTTTTCAATAATTTCATAGCTTTCTGCTAAATTCTCATGCAACTAACTATATGTGTTTGAAAGACAATTCTCTTAGCTATATTATCATATAATTTTTATTAACATATCGCTTGTGGTTTAGAAGGTATTAAAAATTACATGGGAGAAACTCCTATTCGTCGTATTCAAGTATAATCAACTCTTACAAACAATTATTAATATCTAATAAAGTACATGACGTACGATTGTAAAAATTATTGGAGAATGTAGATAAAGGTCTGTACTATATTCTACATATTCGTAAGTGAACAATTGATCATTCGTATTCGTGAAAATGACGGAAATCCTGTACGCTTGACTGCGACGAGCGTAGTACTCACCCAAATAATGTTTAATATCTCGCGAACTATGAAGAATATGTTAATGAAAATATAACGAGAAACTAGATAAAGGAATAACCTTTCGAACGCATGTATAAAAGTGCATCAACTACTTATATAAAGTAACGAAATTAATGAAAAACCAGAAGAATGTACTGTATCGCTGCAAACACTCCGCACAATAATTGTTAATAACTAATTATTTAACAGGTCTAGTGCATTAAAAATTATATGAGAAAGTTGCTAAAAGTCCACACTTCATTCTTCAATACTAAAAGTTCACATATTCATCGTAAATAATGAGTTATTAACGATTTTTCACCGGCCGACGTGATTAAGGCCTGGAAGGTGGAACATGGCGGCTCGCCAGCCAATAGGAAACGGTTTCTCTCTATCCTTGTCGCACACTGGTGCTTTCCTTGTCTAATACCTCTGTTTATATTCTGTGTTCCTATTAAAAAATCGTAGTTCGCGTCACCAGACGCGAGATGGTGTTAGTCATTTCGCCATTTTTTTTCTGTCCTTGTCTTTCTCTATTGCTTTCCTTGTCTGACACACGGTAATATAGCTATCCTTGTTTATCTATATATCTTTCTTTGTTTAACTCATTGCTTTAGTGCTATCCTTGTCCTCCCTTATTCCTTTTCTTGTATATCTTAGTTCTCTACTGCTATTCGTGCCTTACTAAACACCAGAAAAAGTTAATAGTTTTCTTTTAACAAGGCAGCTTTAATAACCCGAAAATTTCGATTTTTCTTTAAACTTTGCAAGTTTGTTGTAAACATCAATAGAAATATCACGCAATTTGTTTTATTATTTTTTGGTTCTTCAGGGTGAAAACACCCCTTAAAGGTTAATGTGTGTTTTCCTATTCTTCTATACTTGAAAACTATAGTAGATAAAGAAAAATCGTTAATACGAAACTTTAATGATTTTTTATGCCTCTATAAAACTGTATAATGAAATTGTTAAAATTTGCTATTTAAATAAAAAAAATATCTTTTACCTCTTGTCTAGCAACCTTTAGCAGCTATTTTGTTACAAAGAAATAAATAAGGTAAATTGTTGCAAATGAAACTGATATCAGA